ATAAATGGTTTGACGATGAAGAGTAAAATTGCAAAATTCAATGTAAAGTATCTTGTTACACTAATGACGAAGGGACGAAAGTCATAAGTTCAGTAACCTGTGACAAAGTTAAACGCTTAAATAATTGGAAACATTTATTTTTATTTAAATGAAGAAATAAATTACTTAAATACTGTTACGCTTAAAGCACAGCCGTAATTAAATCTTAGGATAGATTAACTTTGTGGTCTTTTCAAAAGATATGGTGTAGATTCCTACTAAAGATAATCATAGTTAACCCTCTCGTCGCCAACGCATCTGCCTTCGAAAGTTCACTTTGTTGTTCGTAATGTTGAAATTCTCATAATGGCGTCCAATTTGCCTTTGACTCCTTTTAAAGTTACTGGTCGCATTAACAAATAGGTATCGCTCTTAAATTTTGTAAATTCACAGGTCTAAGGCCGCTTTCAAATTAGATAAATGTAGAAGCGCTGCAGCGGGACGACAACAGCGCTTCTGAATATTGTATGAAAATTAGAAGTGGCGCGGCTGCAGCGCCAGTGGCGCCACTGTAATGCTTCTATAAGCGTCTAATTTGAAGGCGCCCCAAATTGTCGATATTTTAAAACTAACTAGAGAAAAGGCAACAACTTGAAATTCAATTTAATGTAGTGATACACATACAAAAAGCTCAATTAACACCATTATGATGATTTCAACTAACTAGAGAAAAGGTTCAATTCATATTTTCAATTTGATTTTTATTTTAATAAATTATGAAAAAAATTGTTAGTGCCTGTGGACCACCTGACTGGCTCACCTGGGTAGTCCATGGGCATTTTTCTCGTAGCTCATTTCTTATGTATAAACTATTAAAACACAAACTTACATAAGTTAATCAGATAGGTGTAACACATGTGATATAGACATCTCAGACTTATGATAGATATAACACTTTTGAGTATTATTTGACATAATAGTCCGACATTCATTGCTATATCTAACAAATTTTAAATGCGCCAAACATAAATTTTACAATCATTGACACAAAATTCATATGTACGTAAGTTGTATCTAATGTTAAAGCAAACCACCCTATTCTGAACTCACGGGTTACAAAAATTATCCAATATTTTATTTTAACAACATCTTTACTATATTCAAATTCAAAACATTAGAGTACTGCAGTGTTGTCTGCTTAGAATTTTTAGAGGAAATTTCTCAAACTGTTGGTACGGAGAAACCATCTTTCCTGTTGAAATTAGAATGTTTTTTTTTTCAATTCAATGGTCTCTAAAAACAGCTAAATATAATAGGATCCTATTTAAAATACTTTCAATTTCAATGGAAAAATTTAAATAAAGCCTTAGGCCTGATTCAGAGTGGCAGCGCGCGTGGGTGCGTATAAATCAAGTATACGTAGACGCTCATTGCGTTCACAGTGGCCGCGCGCCGGCACTGGATAGATTTATTGGCTCGGTCCGTCCGTACCTTTCACAGTGCTTGGTCTAGCATCTAGCGTCTGTTTGCAACTTGGACACGTGGATCAAACGGTTTCACTCGGTTCGGCACTGTGAAAGACAAGACGCCAAGACCCGCGCGCCCGCACCCGCGCGCCCGCACCCGCCGCCACGCCCGCGCCTGCACTCTGAATTATCCCTAAGAACTCGATACACGTATAAAATACTCCGATTAAAATCCGGGGTAAGTTTGCTCAAGCAAGAGGTACTATAGATACCTATACTAATGAATACTCATTTATAAAGTTCTATCCATTAATAAATTTACTTTAAAAAGAGATATTGCATTCCTTAGCTTGAACAATTTATTTATTGATAAATTAAATACACATCGAGACATATTAAACTATACACTCAATTGCACAAACGAGGAAGTTATTTATTCAGCAATAAATTAAATAATATCTTTGTTTTATATTTTGAACGAGACTGTACTCGGCGTCACTTCTTGTCACGCCTTGCTGTGCCACAGTGGCGCTACTGCAGCGCTTCTACAAGTGTCTAATTTGAAAGCGCCCTAAGTAAAGCAAATATCAGGGTGTTAATACTGACTCACTAAATATATGACAACCAATACAAACAATTCTTAATGATCATATCAGTATGACTTCCTAACATGTTTCAAAGTAAAGGCCAGTATTAAAGAAATTAAAATAAAGAACTCATTGCAACTCATTGGTAGTTTTAAATTAATTTAAATGCAAATATAATACTTGATTTGACAGCATGTACAGTTATCGGCCAGTTGCACCAAATTCCGTAGTTTAATACTGCAAGCTGAAATTTGTTCTGGCGAAAAAAAAACAATAATAGTCTAAGTTCAAAGAGCGATTTTGTTGAAAGTTAAAGAGTTAGAGCGCCTTTCAATTAGACGCTTATAGAAGCGCAGCAGTGGCGCCACTGTGGCGCTGCTACCGCACCACTGCTAATTTATACACAATATTTAAAAGCACAGTTGCAGCGCCAATGTTGTGACACGCGCGAGCCTCTTTTGCAGTCGCAATTAAGCGTGAAACACACCGAGAACGGGTGCGAGTTGGGCGCGACGGCGAGTGTAATTCCGTGTATTTATATGGACGACAACACACATAAATACACGGAATTTACCCGCCGTGCTCCCGACCCGACACGCGCCCGACCCGCACCCGCTGTAAGCTAGTGAATTGAAAATTACTTAACGCTGGCGCGCGGCTGCCGCAGCACTGTAGCGCTTCTATACGCGTCTAATTTGAAGGCGACCTTAATGTTGATGAATATTATCTTAAGATATAAAAGATCTTATCAGTATTCTACAGGATATACACGGAGAGCGTGTAACGGAATTGCATGGAATAATTTCGCCATCCCGGTTCTATCACCGGGGGTCTGTAGGTTAGGGTTCAACCCCAATGTTGTGTATACCCAACATTGCGGTTGAACTAATAATAAATCTAAACGCAGATGACAAGCTACTGATACCCTGATACAATATGAATAAGTGGTACAAAAATGTCTCACTAGTACCACAGTCATTCAACATTTCGGATGGTGGTACTAGTCGGAAAAGTCTCACTAATACCACCGTAGTTCCCATCTGTGGTACTAGTGGTAACGAAAGCAATAACGGGTGTCCATTCACTTTCAGTCTTTTTGAAATATGTACAAAATAACCTATATTTTAATAATAAATTAAAATATATATGGGATTCAGATGGCCCACGCATAGTAATCATTTTCTTATTAGTCCTACTGGTAGTACCACGGACAAAAACATTGCCCTTGGTACATAGTAGAACTACGCTGTTGAACCACGGATAAAAATTGGGTTCTATAGCACTACTTTGCTACTGGTATGTTTTTTAGATTTACTATTGGTATGAAATATAATTTACTATCGGTATGAAATATAATTTACTATTGGTATGAAATATAATTTACTATTAGTATGAAATGTATACGTGATTATTTTTTCAACAACAATGGGGTAGATTTTTAAAATATATATTTTTATACATATTTTTTCGACGTTATTTTATTTCACAATAGTGTAAGGCACGTCTTACACGGCGCTACTTCCAAGCGGCGGAAGTATACTACTCATCATACTACTCTTAATTATGTCGCCTCTTCTTATGTCGCTTGCGTGTCGGTTGTAAATAGCGCCCTGAAAGACACAAGTTTTAAACAAGTTCACGCAACGGAATGGACGGAAGCCAGTTTACACCCACTCGAAGACCACAAAACCAGTCTATCGTTCAGGCACTATCCCGCCATCACGTCAGACACGCACTCCAACCCTCAGATCTCTAACTTCCTCAGCGTGAAGAACTCTTGCATGACGTCGTCGGTGACCTTAGCACGGCGTGTTTGATAGTCTTGGAGAATAGGTGTTATTGTGTCTATGGCTATCTTTTTTAATTCGCCAGTTAGAAGGGCACCGGATTCGTAATCTTTTTTTATCTGTGGAATAGTTTTTTTGTTATTAGAGATATGAATGAAATGCAATAACGTACAATCCAGATAATGTCGCGCGTCTTCCGGTGAAATCGCGCGCAGTCTCGCCAATACCCAAAACTGTATCGTATCTATCCAGTTCTTAGATTTTCGCGATTGTTACACATAGGAAATGATAATATTTTTCCGGATTGAAATTGCGAATGTTTTTATTTTCAAACAAACCAACGTTTCGGGCCCTTTACAGGTCTAATGGTCACGGTTGACTGAGGTGGTAAAGTCATCAACCAGGTATGTCTAAGTTCGCCTTACTAAAGGGACATCATAAAATATGCGTATTTGTAAACTTAATCCTACCTGTTCCAATTTCTCGTCGTCGTCGAGGAAGAAAGTCAAGTACTTGTACGATATGTCAACGTCAGTGTTGCCACCCTTCTGCCGATGCTCTTCAATCGTCGCTTGTCCTCCAGAGAATGCGTATTTATTGATCTGAAAGTTTATAACCTCTTTATTATTGTGGGTTTTTTTATAACATCAAGTGACGGGACGAACAAGTCTTGGGTCTGGTGATAAGCGACACGCCTGTCCATAACAGTTGCAGTGCCACTCAGAGCTTTAAATAGCAAACAGCTGAGAGGCACTGCCACTGCGCCCGTGACCCTGAGGCACAAGTTGACAAGTCCCGTGTGACTATAATTTCACCAGCACCCTTATTATTAGAAAAAACGCTTTATTATTGTAAAAAAAATTTCAAAACCGAAACGCAGCAATGTAAGACATTACTGCATGGCGGCACTACTTCCCTGCACGGACTCTTTCACAAGGAGCTCTAACGTTAGGTCTGACATTATTATATAACTAAATTTGAATTAAATTCTAGTGTCCCTATTGTTGTTTTTAAAAATAGACCAGAAGAATGAATTTTAATTTAGAGCTTTCAAAATTTTAGCAGCTTCTTATAAATCATGTTTTTTTTTTTATAATATCAAATGACGGGGCGAACAAGTCGTACGCCTGGTGGTAAGCTACATGCCTGTCCATAACAGTTGGAGTAAGTACCACTTAGAGCTTAAAATCGCAAAGATCTGAGGGGCACTGCCACTGCCCGCCATCCTGAGTCATAAGTTGACAAGTCCATTGTGCACGTAATTTCACCAGCACCCTTAACCCTTCAAAAACGCAACGCAGTGGTGCTCACATTACTGCTTGAAGGCAGTACTTCCTTGGACGAACTCTATAACAACGAGCTCAACTGCTACGTGTGACATTACTATATAACTAAATTTGAATTAAATTTTTTTTATCCTTAAGGCGAATGAATTTTAATTTAGAGCTTACAAAATTTTAGCAGCTTCATATATGTGATACATTTGTATTTACGGCATGTATTACATGCCGTCTATAATGTTATTGCGTCGAAAAATGAGGTGGACATTTTTAAAGGGGATTGCGAAAATAACCGCGAAACGACATACATTTGGTCATATGCGAACCATATTGATATATTTTTATATTAATTAGAAATTTTTATTTACTTTAGATGTGAAATTACACGAGTCATGTAAATACATGTCGTAAATACAAAAGTATCACGTCCAACCTTTTAAGGAGCTGTAACAATTTTGACGTTTTAAAAAAATTCAACGGCCTTTTTTATTAATATTTAAAGAGAAATTCACTGAATTTAAACTAAATCAACAACGTCACGGAAAGTCGCAAACGCTAGACATTACCTTATTTTTAATCTGCTTAGGGGTGTCACTCAAGAAGATGGACGTATTAGGGTCACTGGCAGACATCTTGTGCTGGACGCCTTGCAGTGCGGGCAGGAACGAGGAGTGGATAAGAGATGGTTTGGGCAGCTTGAGGCGCGCGGCCACGTCGCGCGTCATGCGGAAGTATGGGTCTTGGTCCACCGCACACGGGATGAGACACGGGACCTGCCAAAGTAGGAAGAACTTATTCGTACGTTGTGCAGTATTTATGACCACGGTCAGTGCCACCTGGCCGACAGGCCGAGATAATAGATAGGTGTGTAAATATCTATTAAATTGGGTCATTGTGTCTATCCCGTTTTTATATAAAAAAACGATTTTGAAAAAATTTGTTGTCTCTCGGAATGAATACGTTTGATTCATAATTATTTCTGTATTTAAAACTTTGATTTATAATTCTAGGGTCGGCGGACTAAAGCATAAAGCACATAAGTCAAAATCCAACATCATTCATTAAAATTAATACATCTACCGGCTAAAGCCCATAAGTTAAATTCATCAGTCATTTGTTAAATATAAATTTGTAACTTTATTCTAGAAGCGTCTTTTTCAAATTTATCATTCTCTTCACATCTTCCAACACTATAAACAACACAAAAAATATTTAAGCACTTTTTGACTTATGTGCTTTAGTCCGTCGACCCCAGAATTATTTCGAAGGCAACAATCGACGCAGTGTCAACAGCGCGTCGACTGAGCCACTTTCGTCAGCCGAACTCGCTTGCCGAAGAGGCAGAAGTCGACTCGGTGTAATCAGCCTGTCAACTACGCCGCTTTCGTCAGTCGAATTCGCTTGCCGAAGAGGTGGCAATTGACTCCGTGTAAACAGCCCTTCGACTGCGCCGCTTTCGTTAGCCGAATTCGCTTGCCGAAGAGGCGGTAGTCGACTCAGTGTAAACAACCCGTCAACTGCGCGACTTTCGTCAGCCGAATTTGCTTGCCGAAGAGGCGGAAGTCGACTCAGTGTAAACAGCCCGTCGACTGCGCGACTTTCGTTAGCCGAATTCGCTTGCCGAAGAGGCGGTAGTCGACTCAGTGTAAACAGCCCGTCGACTGCGCGACTATCGTCAGCCGAATTTGCTTGCCGAAGAAGCGGCCATCGACTCGGTCGGCCCGTCGACTATGCCGCCTTCTTCAGTTGAAGACACGGCCGTTGACACAATGTAAACAACGAGTCGGTATAAACACGCTATTAGTCAGCAACTCGAAAGTTTAAAAGTATAATAGTACAATGTTTACTTACAATTTTATTTTCAAAAATGAACGGGAAGCTGGTGGAGAAGGCAGTCGCAGCTTCAATGGAAGGGAAGGTGATCTTGCCTATGACGTCACCGTCGCCGAAGCCGAAGATGCCCTTCACCTGGTTGAATGTCACACACTTCTGTACGCGCACCATGTTCTGGTAGAATTCTGGACATTTTCTACAATAGATTTGAAATGTGATTTTATTATTTAGTTAAACACTACATAATACAATATTGTCACTAAAGTAGCTTTAACAAAAAGCAACAACTTAATAGTTATTGTTTATGATATTATTATCTTCTAGTGAAGACCTCTTGAAAAATCAACGTGTGGTGTACAGATAGTGATAATAACAAACAGAATGTGGTATGAAAGATGGTGTAATGACTAGGGTACATAAAAAAATGTTTCGATGGTTTGGTCGTATGGAAGAATGTTAGTAGAATACCGACACTAATGTAAGAACAGTATAAAAAATAAATTTTGTTTAATACAATAACAGAAAAAAATTAAATAGAAGTAACTCTACTATTTTTCCTACACTTTAGCTTCAGTACTGATGTGTTTAATTATATAAATAATAAAAATTTAACCGACTTTAAAAAGGAGGAAGGTCTCAATTGGACTGAATTTTTTTTTGTATGTTGATACCTCCCACGTAAGTTGTGGTAAGTCAAAATCCAATTTTAACCAAAATGGATTTTAACCTAAATATAACCTTTTTTATACATATTATAGGTTCCATATTTAAAAGTAAAAAAATCACTTAGTGTTATGTTCACTTTCAAACATAAAACCTTTACGTGTGAGGTATCGATGTATATTACGCGATAACTCGCATTTGTGAACCGATTTCAATTAAAATTGGCAAATAGATTTAATTCCACGAACTTTTGAGGTTGCTTTTTTTAATAAAAATATTACAATTATATTATTGTTATACAAAATGTTCAGTAAAAAATTCAATTTAACATACCCAATAAAATCCAGATCATTAAAAATAAAAGTGCGCTTAGGGTCGAATCCGACGGCAATGATATCTTTCGCGTTATTAAACGCCATCTGCCGTGCGTCCTCAATCTTGATGTCTCTCCACAGCGCTTTTTCGTCATCCGTCAGCTGGATTATGAGGGGTACCTGGAATGTGTCTTGAAGCCACCTGGAAATAAAAGCATCAACGCCACGTTGCTTGGAGAATATTTTTGTCACTATTATTTTAGATGCCAGACATGGTCGCTTACTAAAAAACATTACAAAAAACTAGATGTTTGAAAGTATTTCGTCACCCAGTTAGGTACCTTTACAGCTACCAGCCCTGCAGGTCGATTCAGAACCTTACGATGACTCTGTTATCGACCGATTCGATTAGATATCGTACGATTTCTTTTTATTTTTATATATATAACCGAATCGAACGTCAAACTGTCGTATTCGAGACCGAACCGAAATGACGTCACACCCGTACGATTACTCGTACTTCTCGACCGGCAAAGGCTACAAACGTTATTCAGAACACAGTTATCGAACGTTCTATTGTTTACAAAGCAAGAATGTAATATGGAAATCTTTTATTATTTTAAATAAAATCTAGATTTTGTTCAATTTTATTAATTTATTTTAATGCGAGACTAATGCATTTCTGTATTGTACGCCTTTAAAGTCTTAAAAATGTACATAAAAGGATTTAATTTTTTTTATAGTCTATATTCAGGGGGTCTACTCTCGATCTCCGTCCGACATCCGTCCGAAACAATTACTGTCAAACAAGTAATATTCGACAAAATTAAAAGACAAGTATCCAGTATGAAGCTTCATTCGCATCACGCGTCTTTTCATTTGGTCAAGTATTGTTTATTTGGCAGTAATTGTTTCGGACGGATGTTGGACGGAGATCGAGAGTAGACCCCCTAGATCGAACGTTTTAACTCGAATGTTCTGAATAGCTCAGAAAGCGCCCTTCGATTCGAGAACGATATCCAATCGAACGATTCGGTTAAGATATCGAAGAGTTCTAAATCGGGGTCCTGGCTAGAGATGTCGCCACCACCATGTTTCACCACCATAACATTCAATTATTTTTTGTGAAACTACTCCACCATTTTGTTATAATTATTAATGCAAATTACTTAAATATTATACAATGCTTTTCTGTTAGCAAATTGAACATATGTATTCTGTGGGTACAGTTCGCACTACTGCGAATCTTAGTAGTTTAAAATGCTACTAGAAACATTGTTATGTATTACGTTTTAAATGACAAATAAATTAAAAAATAATAAAAGACTACAAATAAAATAAAATAATTTTAGTTGTACATAGACTTACTTTTATACTATAATGTGCGTATAACTGCGCTAGTTTTCATAATAAAATATACTTACTTAGTAAACATAAATGGTATCATGTGTCCTATATGCATGCTCTCCGAAGACGGTCCTCTGCCAGTGTAAAGGTAGAACTTCTTGCCGGCCTCGTGTAGGTTTAAAATGCTCTGCAGGTCACGGTGCGAGAAGAATATACCGCGGCGCAGTAATGGATGGGCTGTTCAACATAATCATAAAGTAATCAGGCAGTCTACCTAATGTAAAGTGTTATTCTTATTCCCGAAACGCAATAAGTTGGGCCTTTTCAAGGCAAAAGTGAATAGGCATTATTTAGGTGTGCATCCTCCATCGTCGACTTCATATTTCTTTAATTAATTAAATAAAAAAAAGGTAAACGCTGCTTATAATCTCGGGAATGCGATAATTGAAACACGTTTGCTAAATTTACCTTTCTTTCCCGTAACTTTCTCAAATCTGTGCAAAAGTTCTTCATCAATTTTCTGACTGCCAAACTTTCCTGTAACACAATGATATTCAATTTAGGATAAACAGTTTCTTTCCAATGATTTTTGTTTTAAACCGACCAAAAAAGGAGGAGGTTCTCAATTCGACTGTATTATTTCATATGTATGTACGCGATGACTCCCGTATTTGAACCGATTTTGATTTTTCTTTTTTATTGATCCCATTTAAATTTGAAGAAAATATTCCGCCTGTAAAGGAAAGTAGAGTGAATTCGGTTTCGCGCACTTTCCGGTAATCGATTTCAATAAAACTTAGCTTAAAATATAATATAATATAATAAAATAGTAATAACTTCACGAACTTTTGAGGTTTACATAAGTTCTTATTTATGTAAGAGGTAATAATTATTTTAAGAATTTTGTACTTATTTGTTTATTTTTTATTCACATCATATATCTATGGTTTTATTTTATATAAAAAAGTTATCAGTTTACCACATTTCTTCTTTAAATTACACATATTAATTGGCATATCTCCCGGTGAAGAAGAGTGGGCCGTCCTGCATCTTTTTTAAAAATAATATCAAGTGACGGGACGAACAAGTCGTGCGCCTGATGGTAAGCTACACGCCTGTCCATAATAGTTGCAGTGCCACTCAGAGCTTTAAATCGCAAAAATCTGAGGGGCACTGCCCCTGCGCCCGTCACCCTGAGATATAAGTTGACAATGCTGACATTACTGCTTGGGGGCAGAAATAGGTAAGTTGGCAGTACCTCCCTGGACGAACTCTTTAACAAGAAGCTCTACTGCTACTTAAAATTTTATCTGATGACCACGGCTTATGCCTTTAACTAGCATTATTCGTATCTTACATATAAATAAGTCTTTCTTACAAGTTCACTGAGGTACTTATAATCTGCCCTCTAATCATCTAACTTGAACTACAGACTAATTTGCACTCTTAAATTATATACATTTTCAAAACCCATTATGAGTTGATGTGATTCTATACATTTAAAATACCATTATGAGTGTGCAAGCGTGTTTGTATGTGTGAATGAACATATGCTACATATACATGTAGAAGAAATTCCTTTTCTTCGTAATACAAGTCAAGGAGTCATAATTATGATTACCATTATCTTACACCTGTAGGTGACATCTATTCCACTAAGTTCAACTATAAGGTCAATCAATTGAACTAATGTTCGTGAGAGGTGTAGAACCTTAAGTGCCAAAAAGCATTTTAAAGACAATGGGACTCTTATTAGGGAACATTTCGTTTACTCGGACAAGATTACGAGTGTCGAACAATTACGCGCAAAAACTGTCTCCGCTTTCAAACTTGTGAAGTCAATTAAGGTCAGCTTTCAAACTACTGTTCAAAGTTGAAACGAAACTCTCGACAACGTGCAAATTTTTGCATAGGTTGTGATGTTGGACACTTGAAGGTTTTGACTTAAAATTGGTAAGTACCAAATCTAAATTACAAAAAGAACAACATTATCAGTGACTTACCTAATTATTGCAAATAATTATTCAATTATAACAATACGTAGTCCTAACAATAAAAAAATAGGTAATTAAGCGATCGAGAAAGATTACGTATCGTTCGAGCACTCGGGCCCACTGCCTTCGCACGGTGCATATGTTTTAAAGACAATTTTGCAAAACTTTACTAGATACAATTAGACAGAATATTGAACAGAATTTTTTTTTATATTTTTAGATGATTTAGTATTAACTATATTATTAATTTCTTAAATAGGCTCAACTGTACATTACCATCGCACGAGTTGAGAGTTGAAATTAATATGGTGAATAGATTACATAGTTAGCAGTGTAATCCTAAAATATTAGCTTTAGGAAACTCGTAGTTTTGATAATAAAAATTATTGAAATATTCGAAAATATATGATAGGAAACAGGTTTTATAGGTTAGGAAAGCACAGCGTTTGGTTGTTGCAGTATTTTTTTGCGTTATTTCAAAAATTTTCCGCAGTATTGAATTAAACAGCACAAATTAATACGTAATTGTAAATTTAACATAGAAATTTACTATAATTACTATGTAAGCTTTTATTTTTGAACAATTCTTTTTTGTTGCAAAAAAATAACGAAACGCGTAAAGAACGCCATGTTGTTTGTTGTTGTTTACTGTTTGATGTATGCATCAATTAGGATTTTGCGTTTTTGCCTGGTTTTAGGTTTAAATTTAGTTTTTCATAGTGGAGTTGGGGGGGGTGGTTTGGGGGTGGGTTTTTTCCCGCTAGGGGTTCGGGGGGGGGGGGTTACCCTGCTCTTTGGTGCGAAAACATGATTTTTTGAGGTTATTTTTTTCGAATTTTCAAAAATTAATATCTCGAAAACTATTAAATTCCTAACTTTGAAACTTTGCACGAAGGGTTCCCTCCCCTCCCCCCTTCCCCCCCACCCCCCTCCCACCCCTCAAATCGTGCGATGGTAATGTACAGTCCTTCCCTTAAATATGGCGAGAATGCAAATCAACACACTGTATTAAATAGAAAACAAATGATGATAGCACTTAACATCTTTATCATTGCGCGATTTTTAGTAGACTAAAGCAATGTTTGTAAAAAGATCTAAATCCCAAAATATGGACTTATGTTTCTTTACTTCTTACCACCATATATCTACATACATATGCGTTTCTTAAATTTGTTTATATGGCGGTCCGAAATAGAAAAACAATTTGTGGCTAATTAAGTTACTTTACTTAATTATTTCATATTAATTTTTTTTCAAGCCAATCCAAGAATTATATTGAACTTCAAAACTGTAATATAAGACTCACTGATTAGTTTGTCATAATCAATGCCAGTCTCAGACTTGCTGGAAACGGTCCATGGGTCCACAAAATCATCTTCACCATCATTCAAAGACAAGTTGTTCAGCTGTTCTCCTGCTCCGCATGGTGTCCGTGATGCTGCCTCAGCCATTGTCGAGAGTCTGTAAATGTTATAAATTGGAATAAATAGACATTGACTTCTTATGTTTTCACGATTGCTGCACTTTGGAATTGAAACTATTTTTGTCTACTAGTTTTGTCTAAATTGCGTACCTATATTATTATCTTATAAACAAATAAATATTTCAGGCTCTTTACAGTAGGGATGCACTTTATGTTGTATAAAATTCGATTCAAATGTAACACGTTCGAGCAACTTTTTGTATTAATTAATTTCAATCCGATTTTTATGCAAATCGATTCGACAGTAAGGCGAATCGAATTGTCTATCTTTAATTTAAACAAAACAGTCTCTTTCTGAACTCCTACTGAATCGTACAGCTAATCCTATTTTATATTGGTCTGCAAGAAAAATAGTTTGGCAACATCTAAGCACAATAATTCTACGATATAGGCGATTGTTGCTACTTCTGTGGCATCTGAATGTCTTTTCTCACTGGCTAATATCACTCTAAATGAAAGTTGTAACCGACTATGGCCAAAAGCCGTCAAAATTTTAATTATTTATTTTTATGAGATTGATTCAAGAGCATATGACCCAATTTGTAGATTGATTCAGAAGCATACAATCCATAACTATCTAAAACATCGATTCATAGCAAAAAATCGTGCGTCCCTACTTCACAGGTCATCAGAGATGATAGTCTCCAACCCCATATGTCTACTATTAATGCAAACTATTCTCAACTATAGTTACAAAAGTTATTAATTCAATTACCATTTTTAAGTTACCATCACATTCCAATTTTCACTACATAATGGTTTGTAAAATACATATTTTATTTTAACAATATCAACACTGGAAAGGTAAAACGTCTAACATACATTTGGTAAATATTACAGGAGAGCAAATTTAAAGTAGGTTTTTTAGGAAAAAAAATCATAACTCTAATTTTATTTGTTATATGGAAAAGCTGAATCTTTCTAGTTTTCCATATACCGGTATTTCTTTTTCCAGTGTTAGTGAGATATTTTTACTAAATTGAACATAGAAACTAAAAGTAAAAATGTTGTTTAAACTTTTAGTAAATCAATCAGCCCGTTACACCAAGTACCAAGTAAGTAGTAGTCTTATGATTGCTTGGGAATTTCATCATTGACACTGGCAGAAATGCTAAAATAGTTGATGTCAAGCACCATGACATAAAAAGTCTGTGCAGTATGCGAAAGTATTTTGGAAATTGTATGTGACACAAATTCAAATGTTCTTTGGTAAATTAAGTATAAGGTATATTTAAATTAATGATTACAGTTCAGAATAGGGTGATGTGTATTAATGACTACCATCTTATCCAGTCAGTATTTTGGAAACTGTAAAGAGCATGGCATAGAACTTTAGAATAGCTGACATAGAAATAAAAGAATTGTGGGGGTGGGGAATTAATATTTTTTTATTCATAAATATTACTATAGTCGTCACAATGTAAGAGGCTCAATTTGATAGCTAAGAAAAACCTTAGTATGTAACTCTGATTGCAATCAACGAAACAGTATACAAACAATTATGTATTTAATGAGTTTAAAAAAAATACATCAATTTTAGTGAAGCATTACAAAGAGTCTTCCAATAAGATGTTTCATTTTGATACGTAAAAAAACCAGTATTTTGAAGCTAAATCATCAGATATTTATTTAATTGTAATAAGGAGAGTATGCCATTAATAATGGAAAACAATCTCTCTCATCTTAGCGTTGTCCCGGTTGCGTCCTCAGCAGGGTTGCTGCGGAGCCCGGGGTCCGCTTTCCTACTTTTTCTCCTCCACTTTGCACGGTCTTCGGCATCCTTAGTGGTGAGACCATTGGCACGCATATCACCCTTGGCGACGTCAAGCCAACACTTCTTGGGTCTGCCCCTTCTACCGGGGCCCGGCGGAGGTGGCATAGCCAGACATTTGTTTCCCACGTAGCATGCCGGTTTCCGTAAGATGTGGCCGTACCAACGTAGGCGGCTTTCTTGCAGTTTATCTGCAATGTCACGGACATGAAGGCTGCCGCGGATGCGGGAGTTTCTGACACGGTCTTTCCGTGAAACTCCACACATCCAGCGCAGCATCTTCATTTCCGTGACACGCAGCTCCTGCTTATGACGCTCAAGTACGGGCCACGTTTCACTGCCATATAAAAGGACAGGCCTAATGATGGATTTATAGACCTGTCCTTTCAGCTTAACCGGCATCTTGGGGTCACAAATTACACCAGTCACCTCACGCCACTTTGCCCAAGCGGCTGCGATTCGGGCTCTGACGTCGCAGTCGATGTCTCCGGACGCGCTAAGTACAGATCCCAAGTATTTAAACTGGCCCGTAGGCTCGACCGCGTCTTCGCCTATGCGTACGGGTAGGGGATCTGTAGCGTTGCAGACCATGTACTCAGTCTTCGCCACATTTAGTCTCAGACCGCCGTTCTCAAGCGACTCCTTCCACACATTCACTCGTCGTACCAGTCTCCCTCTATCCGCATCCGCCAGCGCGATATCGTCAGCGTACATAAGCATCCACGAGGGTTGCTCATGCGTGTCTCGGATGGAGCTTGAGACCTCGTCTAATATCACGCTGAACAGATAGGGACTGAGAACTGAGCCCTGGTGAACTCCGACTGTGACAGGGAAGGGTTTAGTGTCACCAACAGCAGTCCTAACCATGGATTCGGAATCGCGGTACATGTCTCGGATGATGTCAATATAAGCTTCTGGTACCCCTTTGGATCTCAGTGCCCACCAGATCATTACACGGGGGATACAGTCGAAGGCCTTCTGCATGTCAAGAAACATGAAATGCAGAGGCGTATTCTTCAATCTGTATTTCTCCATAATGACCCTTAGGGCAAAAACAGGATCCATGGTCCCAAGACCAGGCCGAAACCCATATTGACCCTCCGAGACAGCACTCTCCTGTCGGATCCGAGAGTCTATTATACGCTCGAAGAGCTTCATGGTGTGGGACATGACCTTTATGCCCCGATAATCGCCACACTCCTGCACCGATCCCTTCCCTTTGAAGACTGGAGTGATAATACTCAGTCTCCATTGGTTAGGGATTTTACCGGTGAGGAGCACGCGATTAAAGAGGCCGGTAAGGATGCCCACACCACGGGGACCCATTGCCTTCCAGGCCTCGATGGGAACCCCATCGGCTCCGACAGCTTTCCGATTCTTCATGCGACGAAGAGCTAAGTGGACTTCCTCAGGCGTTACCGGTCGCACTAGTCCCTGATTCGGAGGGAGGACCGGTGGCTGCACCTCTCTGTGCTGCTGATTCAGCAGCTCGTGGAAATATGAGCGCCATCTCTCCTTCACCGCGTCGACCTCGCATATAAGGTTGCCATGAGGGTCTTTAATGCAGCGACACTTGGAAATATCTTGTGCCGCTAAGACCCTCGAACGTGCCAGCTTAAAGATAAGCTTCTGCCCCTCAGACGATTCCAACTTGTCATACAACGGCTGGAAGTGGTCCCGTCTGGCTCTGGCTACAGCTTTCTTAGCGGCACGTTTGGCATCCCTATATGCGTCGCGGTCTTCAGAAGATTCGGACGCTTGCCACGTTTTGAAGAGGGCTTTCTTCACCCTCACCTCCCTCTGGACTGTGTCGTTCCACCACCAAGTTTCTTTGTCACATTTGCGACCACCCTTGGACAAGCCCAGCACCGCTTTCGCCGCCTCAGATATGGCAGCCTGAATGTTGTCCCAGTGGTTCTGGACTAGATCACCTTCAGTGTCGGCGCATTTATCGCCGATCGCTGAGATGAACTCCTGGGACGTGGTACTATCAAGCCGCCACCATCTGATTTGGCGTCGGCAGCGCTCAGCGGGCTTGTCGGCCGGCTTTACGCAGAGATCCATGACAAGAAGACGGTGTTGCGCAGTGAGACTCTCACCTGGTATGACCTTGCAGTTGGCCACTTTGCTGATATGGTGTCTCCTGGTGAGTAGGAAATCGATTTGGGTGGCGTGTCCGCCGCTCCTATAGGTGATTAAATGCTCGGGGTTCTTTTTAAAGAACGTGTTCACGATGGCGAGATCGGCCGCCGCACACGTTGTGAGGATGTCTCCTCCCTCCGCGTTGCGACTGCCGTACCCGTAGCCACCGTGGACCCGCTCGAACCCTTCACACGCCTCACCCACATGACCGTTCAGGTCGCCACCCAAGACGACTGCCTGAGACAAAGGAATGGCACTCAGCACTTCCCCGAGTTGATCCCAGAACCTCGCCCTGTCCGTGTCGCTGCAACCGGCCTGAGGTGCGTAGGCGCCTATCAAGTGGGTCACGACCCCTTCGATAAGCACCCTCACTACCATAAGCCGGTCGCTAAAGCGTTTCACTTCCAGGACGTGATCGTGAAACTCCTCGGAGAGCACCACGGCCACCCCGTTCACGCCCCCAGGAGCACCGGTGTAGATCAGCTTGTAGCCATTCCCAATGAGCCGGGATCTGCTGCCTTTCCACCGAGTCTCCTGCAGGAACGCCACGGCGACCCTCCGCCTGGAAAGCACGTCTGCTAGCTCCCTCGCGCGTCCAGTCAGCGTGCCAATGTTCCACGTGGCAAAGCGGAGCTTCCTGTGATGGGTAGGGGCTCGCCTCTTTAACCGTGCCCACCCTTGACACGGTAGCCCTAGTCCACTTGCCACAGAAGTCGGGCGAGGCTCCTGCGCGCCGTTTTGCGGCGGCGCCCTATCCCTATGCCATATCCTTCTGTTAAAAATGGAAAACAATATCAGTGAAAAGGCCGCCACGACTGCGCGTTTTCACACAAAAGAGCGACGGTATTATTACTTATGTGGCACGTAGCGCCGTCTAGTTGAAAATGAACGTCGTCCATATCATATGTCCATAATATCTTCCAATTCCGGTCATACAAAATCATTAATCATCGTTCGATAGCGCAGTCCATTCACTGTAACAGTTGTTCCAGCCTCATTTTCGAAAAAGTAAAGTCACACAAGTAACAATACCAGCCCTCTTTTGCGTGAAAAGTTTCCTGACCGTATGATTTCTCAAAGAGGCGATCACAATTAGCCACCTTCTTGTGATGACCTTTGGACTTTTTTCTTTGGAGCTACATGATAGATAAGGTCTATGCCAATGGCCCACAATCGATTCAAGACCTCAAAGATGGAATTCATGAAGGTTTTGAGGATATTGAAAACATACAGCCGCAAATGTGTGAATTGGTGATGGAAAATTTCATGAAAAGATACGGTCCTGCAAGCGCAGCCGTGGTGGACATTTCACTGATATTGTTTTCCCTTATTAATGGCATACCCTCCTCTTTAGAATTAAATAATAATTCAATCATTTCGCTTAAAAATACTTGTTTTTTTACATATCAAAATGAAACCTATTATTGGAAGAATCTTGAGGCACTGAAGTTGATTCCAAATTAACATGCAATTTTGAGTTAGTCCGAAACATCTTAAAACCAGTTACACCTACAGTTCAGTGTATTTTTTCTTAAGTAACAGTGTTGTAACCAACTAAACAAATAAATAATTATACATACAGGTGCTACTTCAAATAAATGTCAATAAAAATTTGAACCATAGTCTTTTACGAGTTCTTAGGTTTTCGCGATTGTTACCATAGGAAATGAAACTATTTTTCCGGATTTAAATCGCGTATATTTGTTTTTTCAAACAAACCAACCAAAGGTTTGTTTCATTTCCATAGTCTTTTTTTTATTTCGCTTCACAATTTTGCTATTGAATTTTGAATTAATACAAGGAAAATTGTTCATAACGCCATAAAAAAGGAATTTTGATATGTTAACTATATGTATAAAAAATACATAATTATGTCATATGTAATTTAATAAAATGACAAATGTTATAACTATTATTATATAATTCTAGAATAATTTGACGATTATTATTTTTTTTTTTAAATACTTTAGACTTCAATTTGACATTCATTTTCCAATTAATTCATTGACTTTTCAGAAAATATTTGTTTAGATTTAATTAACATTATAACGATATTTTAATTAATGGTCATCAAAATGTGTATTTAAAAAATTTACATTGCTACGCCCTTACAGGGTACATGTTTGATACTGTAAACTACTATAAGAACTATTATGTAACAACATGTTTTGCAATAAACATTATTATTATTATTATTATTATTGAACTACAATAACTAGTTGTCCTTGTGAACTGTGTTAATGTAACTACATTACAACAAGTAGAGGCTGTCATGGTGATCATTTAAAATACTTATTTATATTAAGCATTATAGGCTCATAAAATTTCGAATTGATTTATTTGTTTAATTTGTTTAGTTCCCATCCCTATTTACACCGCAATGACAAGTGTCAAAAGGTGCGTCTTATTTGGTGACGACTAGAAATAAACCTAATTTTACACAAGGTTTTAAAATTATGCACACACACTAAAAACAAAAAATCATGTCTTTTTTGCTTTAGATTTTCACAATTTAGAAAAATTCTTTTCTCGAAAACTTTTCCGTTTCCTAAAACTGATAATCAGTGGGGGTTTTCTTTTTACTAGGTCTACCTGCGAAAATAAATTCAACTCTCAACTCCATAAATAACTTGATGTTTTTTTTATTTATCTAATCTTCTATAATAGTATGTACAACATTACTGTCTTTAGCATGAGGAAGCAAATTAGACAAAAAAATTAAATTAAAAAATACATATAAAAAACGTTTATCTTAAAAAATGTCAAGTGTTGCAACTAATATCATGAAATTGTATTCATTTACAGGATAAATTCGAGAAAATTTATAATTAAGGTTAAGATAAATTATTGCTTTACAAACCTGTGTATAAAATTGTTAGACGATCACAGGATGTATAATTACGTTTACTATCTCTCCTAATTGACACAGTTACGGGAAAAGCTGACGCAATTTTCATGAAAAAGCCTCCTAATCGATTCACCGCACTCTTACGACTTTTACCTCGCCAACAAGTCAAATTATTTGCGTCATAATAAATGTTTCGTTATTGCTTTCTTATAAGATTTATTAAATCACACATTTGTAATCCAATACCATTTTTGTTTTCAAAATAGCTAAATAGTTCAAATAAAAAAAAACTGTTACCAAATTTTAATAACAATCTAATGTATTTTTTTTTTCAATACAGCAGTGTTGTCAATATAATTTTAATTTCAACGTAGTGAATTTTACAAGCAAAAACTAAACGCAATTTCATATGTGCTACCATAATAAACTTTAAAAATTAACCTAGATTTGAAACCGTTTTTACTAGATAATTTAACAAAAAAGTAAGTAACATTTTTATAAATTTTCGAAATTTTCGAAATCAAAAATTTCAAAACTAATGCCACTATTTCATAGCCTGCAAGCACTTGCCAGATTTTAAGAATACTGTGTATAATATTATTGTGAATCGAGTTGTTTCCGAACCCTGTCATGCTAAGTAAATTTATTAGCATTTATTCCTTTCTACTGATAGGTAATGTGTATAAAGTTAAATGCATTAGTGATAAACTACACTTTGACCACTAAAATTACTTTCTACAAAATAAAAATACGTAACAAAAGAGTTATGAGCATTAAAAATTATTAATTTATTATTAATTATTGTTAGGCTAGTGCATTTATATATAATAACAACACACCGAAAAACAGATTAAACTTACAACATTTCCATGAAATAGACATTACGACACGGAGCAATTAGGATAAATGATTGATGGACTCATTCATCGGTTGACCCGTTAATTGATTGATTGAATTTTCGGTTCGATCGAACAAATGCTCCATCGAACAAATCTTCCTACCCAAAGGTTTTTTTAGGCCCGCGCTAGGGAAACCCTGTATCACGGTTGCCATAGACACACACATAGACAACCACAAATTGCACCCAACTCATGAGAGAAATCAATGTAATGTACAAATATTTCTGCCTGTCTGGGAATCGAACCCTCTACGTAGCAGACCAGCAACCGTTCGGCCACGGAGGCAGATAACTAACATTGCTAACTGAATTGGTACGGACGGCAGCATATCGAGCTATTCAAATTGGGTGCGATATTCAAATAAAAGTGTATATAGCTTGACGTGCTGTTGACTACAAAAAAATACAAGCGGTCTAAATAGGCAGGCAGTTAAATTTCCAGTCAGAATGAACGCAACTACAATAATATTATCAGTCTCGGACTGAGTGCAATGTGAAAATAAAAAATTAATAAACTCCAATATTGCGAGCGTGACCAACATTAAAATGATCGGGTTATTTAAAGGCGTGCCCCTGGGTTATCGGGTCTCAGGTGCTGTTCGAATACGCGATCGATACACGTCTATTTTCCATTTTAGTAGAATATTGAATAGGACGGTATTATTTTCTTACTAAACGTCAAAAATCTGTCAATACAAATTCGCTCACTTACGGTGTCTGTTGCTGTTTTAGTGTTAGACGTGAAATTTTCTTTGTATTATAAGTACATTGTATGGAAATTCGGTGTTGAGTCGGCACTGTGGTGTTCTTGATGGTTTCGGGCGATGATTCCAACGGTAGATTATCGCGTAAAACTACGAGATCGCCAAATAGAAAGAAGAAGGATGGAGACTTAGCGAAAAATGCAATGCGGAATGAGCAACCTTCAGTTCACAAGAGGAATCTTTACGTTGTGTCTTTTCCTCTGATCATTTTGTTTAATATACTGAGGTCTATATTGTATCAATTGTTTCTTGTGTTTAAATACTTATACTCGGCGTCGCATCGCTTGATGCAAAAGCCCGAAAAGAGTGGCGAGTATAATTTGGAAGTTGTGGTGAAAGACGGAGTGGTGTGTACGGAGATCGCGGACGAAATGTCTTACGTGCATAACGTGGGTCCGGGAGATCCGCTGCTGGCGAAACAGAAGCATCACCATCGCAAAGCTTTTGAGTACATTTCAAAAGCTCTGAAGATTGATGAGGAGAATGAAGGTACATTACATTGTTCTTATTTTAAGTTGTTCAGGGGTGAGTATAGTATAATGACTTACATTTATACATTTGTTTTTTATAATACTAAGTCACGTGACAAACAAGTCATGTGTCTGGTGGTAAGCTTCACGCCTGTCCCTTACAGTTGCAGTGTCACTCAGACCTGTAAATCACAAAGATCTGAGAGGCACTGCCACTGCGCCCGATACCCTGAGACATCAGTTGACAAGTCCCATGTGCCTGTAATTTCACCAGCACCCTTACTTACCCTTCACCGGAATGCAGTAATGTTCACATTACTGCTTGGTGGCAGATAGGTAAGGTGGCAGTACTTCCCTGCATGACCTCTTTCACAAGGACCTCTACTGCTACTAACATAATGCTTTACAAACAATTTGTTTATGATTTAGGAAAAATAACTTCTTCTTTATAATGTTATAGCTCCATTGATACTATTGATAATTCTGCCAATGTCGAGTTAAGGAACGCATGTTATTGTCATTCTTTTTAATCGTTTCCTTATTTTTTATTTTATTTTAGTAACTTTAAAGTGTAAACTAGACGGTGAATGCCGGTGTACGGTCAAACCAAAAATGGTTTTTGTTACACCGTTAGCAGCACAAATTTTTGTATATTTTCTGTATCTATTTCTTAATAAATAAAATAAAATAAATAAATAAATGTGTTTGAACACATGCGGTGAATTTCGACAGAAATCATTGGGAGGAGAATCTGCAGCCTTTTCTCTGTTTTATGTATTTTTTGTTTATAAATTGTTAAGTGATAGTACTGAACTGTGTGCCTTGAAGCAGACATGCCAAGATACTTTACGAAGCATATAATAAAGGATGGAGTGAAGTAAATTGTTAATAAAAATTGTGTTCCATACCTTCACCACAACTTTTCCCAAAATAGGTCAAAAAGAGCTAGCAATAGAGCTCTACAAAAAGGGCATTTATGAGCTAGAACGAGGCATAGCAGTGGACTGCTGGGGTGGTCGTGGCGACGCGTGGCAACGAGCGCAGCGGCTGCACGACAAGATGAAGACCAATCTTGGCATGGCTAAAGACCGACTACATTTTCTTGGTATGTTTTATTTTGAAATATTTTGCTTTGTGTATTTTGAAGTTTGAAAAGTCTGGGTGACTAAATATTGAAGCCATAAGAGTAAAAAACGTTTTATTCCAAACCAAAATAAAAACCATGACCTATTTTACTACAATTAAACGTTAAAGGTAAAACCTAAAAATGTTCTGTAAAACTTCAATGAGAGATTGTGCCAATATTTATAAGAAAAATAATATGCAATTTTTTAACTTACTTATTGTTTTTTAAGTAACAAAAAACTATAAGAACCGATGTAGAATATTTGTTTGTCTATTATTATTGTCAACCAGATTTTTCAATTAATTGTTATAAAAGCTCATTCCACTGCTATATGTAAAAGAAGGCAATATAAACTATTCATTGCTCAATTAAGGTGTATTGTCCTCTTGTTTTCCAAATTTATTGAATGAATTGGCTGTGTCTGTTGTGCATGCTAGCTTAATTTTATTTCTTTAAATCCAAATAATAATCTAATTGTTGGCATTTGAAGGACAAGTATTGGCACTTAATACCTATTGTGTTATATAAAACAACCCATGCTATACCAAGCTAGTTTCTGGCGCTAATATTCCACAGTATAATTGTGACAGTGAAATATAATTAATGGTTGAAAGGTAACAGGGTCTATGTGACAGTTTGCTTGAAAATATGTTAATTCTAGGTAGTACAATTTGTAGATAATGAAGATGCATTACATCTGTCTAGATCCATTCAACTTTTTCATTAATATTACTGGTGAAGCATCTTCTAATATCGTCCACAAACAGAGTATATTTACCTAAACACTAAGAAAGTAATCCACATAAAGTAGATACTATCTCCCTCTGAAATCATGGACTAAATTGTAGAACAAAAGTTTTGTAATTTTAAGTGAAAATAAAACTAGTTCATTTAAATATTTATTTTATTGAATGTGATGACATTTTTGCTACCATGATATTCATATAATTTTTGTGAAAATACTCCAGTAGTTTGTTATTATTATTGATACAAAAATTGAACGAATGCAAAGAAAATCCGTTGTTCCAACTGGACTCGAAGCAGCATCAATAAAAAAGCCATTTAATCTCAATACAAAGTTCTGTAATAAGCACATAGACAATATAGTAAGATCTGCTGACTTGCAGGCTTAGCATGAGCCCGAAGACAAAAGCTATCTCTTTTTCGATGACAGTACCAAGAAGAGATAACTTAAGTCTTTGGGCTCATGCTAAGCCTGCAGCTCTGCAGCTCTGTTGGTAAGAGCTAGGTAGTCTTGGTTTGGCAAATGAAGAAATTTTTCTTTGTGTTTTATGCATTTTGTTTTTAATAATTCTGGGATTTCAGAGGGCAGTGTTATTCACTTTTATTACTTGAAGTTTAGGTAAATATACTCTATTCATGATCAACCTGTGTCGGTTAGCACCTTTTACATTTCAACCGTCAATATTTTGTCAAAATATACCAGTCTCGCGGACCATGTATGCAAACTTGAAACCAGAGAAATTATGTGTACACTAATGTACACTACACAATCCAAGCTCTTAAGAAGAATGTTATACTTATTCGCCTACTGCATATAAATAAAGCACGAGCGTCCGAAGCTGTAAGCTTGTTATGACGGTCCCTAACCAGTGCCAATAATTGGAACTATTACACCTCCTTTTATTTCCTGTAATAAACCCAAATCCATAAAAGTTTAATTGAATGTTATGTTCGATGTAGCCAACCTAGTCGCACTCAGTAAGTTGGGTGTAGATGAGCCAGAGAGGAATGAAATAAAACCCACGGAGTCCCCTCTCAAGGCGAGAAGAACTTTTGAAAAGTCCAAGACGACATTACTCGCACATACTGAAAGTAACGGCCATTCGAAGTCCGCAACTGAAGGTAGAATGTCATTATTTCAGCTTCGTTTGGCGTAACCTACTGCAATACTAATCATTGAGTGTGAATAATAACCCAATCAAATTTAACAATACTCTACGTAAGAGATTTTAATTTGGGATAATTATGGTCTATTTAAAATTTCCAGGATTTGCATGTGGTTTTCGTAGATTATTTTGCTTGCTTTATTTATTGTTCCTGCTTTCTAAACAATTACTTTTTATGTGAACGACTTCTTGAGTCTCGAGTCCAAATGTATAAAGCGATCGTGATTTCGAAACTAGATTTATATACGGCATTCTCAAATATGTACAAAATTGCAAAATAAAAACGCGCTTACCATTATCACATGTAGTTTTCACCCTGTATACCAGGGTTTCTTTATCTGTGGTCCATGGACTAGGGGTCCGTGTATTGAACGCCAAGGGTCCATGACGAGCCTACCTAACATAATGGAACAGCAACCGTCACACTAACTATTCATATATAATTAAGTAAAGTTTAATCGCAAACAATATAAGCTATTAAAAGCTAATCTTAGTTTTTTTCTTCTCGGAACGGGTCCGTGGGCTCTTTGACATTTTAAGAGGGGTCTATTACTAGAAAAAGGTTAAGAATCCCTGCTCTGTACGGTGCGCCGTCTCAGGGGGTCACCAGACTTATCGATACGGATTAAGCCAAAGCTTTTTCGGACCAGGGTCATGCCGGTTTCGCATTTATAAGTTAAAGTTCAAATTTGAATATTACTAAGCGGAATCTTGATTCCGT